ACCCATAGTTTTGAAATGTTTTTAATAGTTCATTCAGGAAAATGTTGAGAAATTAATAGCTTCCCCATCAAATTTCAGCTCTGTCACACAGACACAGAGGAGCTCATGCAAAATTGTTCAGCTACTCCATGCACAAGGAGCAGCAGGCAGGACATGAAGTTGAAGTGGAGCATGGGAACCAAAATAACAAAAGGAGAAAGAAACGCTGCTAAGATGAGCAATATTCACCTACACTGCACTTATTGCTTCTGTCTCCACGCCTGTTGCGTCTAATGCCTGTTTCTACTGTTGCAACAAGATCTTAGTTTTCTCCCTTGTAATTGTCATTAAAGCATCTGTCCAAGACTTCTTTTAAACCGTATTTAAAATGACAGGAATTTTAATTCAGACTGGCAGAATAGGGAGGAAGGCTGTGTAGCCCTACTTCTCATTCCTTACCAAATTTAGTATGCAACTTTTCTGGAAGGAAAGAGGCATCCTTTCTTTTGGCTATTGTGGCAAACATTTTTGCCTGTCCGTAAAAGATGGATATTGATCAGAAAGCATGTAATGAGACTGCAGAATGCCTCACTCCTGTCCGTAAGAAATACTCTGCCAATACAGTTCATAAACCATCATAAATCAAGCTACGAGAATGTGAGGTCAGCTTAGAGATCATAAGACACAGACCTTAGAGATTCTGTATTTGCCTATGGTGTAGAAATCGTTAGGTTCAAATTCTTCCACGAGGGAGGTGATCCTTCCCCTCTACTCAATCCTAGTGAGACTACATCTGGAGTGCTGTGTGCAGTGCTGGGCTTCCCAGTACAAGAGAGACATGGACCGACTGGAGCAGGTCTAGTGAAAAGCCACAAGATGATTAAGGGATTGGAGCACCTGCTATATGAGGGGAGGCTGAGAGAGCTGGGATTGTTTAGCCTAGAGAAGAGAAGGCTCCAAGGGACCGTAACTTTATGTGTAAATATCTGATGAGGGGAGTGAAGAAGACGCAGCCAGGCTCTTCTCAGTGGTGCCCAGCGACAGGACAAGAGGCAACAGGCACAAGTTGAAATACAAGAAATTCAATTCAAATATCAGAAAAAAACTTACTTGCTGTGGCGGTGGTCAAACCCTGGAACAGGCTACCCAGAGGGGTTGTGTACAAATACCTTGGATATGTTGAAAACCTGAATGGACACGGCCCTGAGCAACATGCTCTAGGTTACACTGCTTTGAGTAGGGGGTTTGGACTAGACCGTCTCTATAGGTCCCTTCCAACCCCACCCATACTGTGATTCTGTAATTCTGTGATGAACAAAAAGGAAAGAGAAAATCAAAATTCTCCGTAACTAACAGGATCACAACTGCTGCAGCTAGAAAAAAAAGATAAAAAATGTCACAATAAAATTGCGAAATAGGCAACGCCAATTTTGTGAAGTAAGCCTCACTGGAGCTGCTTTAGTTCTGAGACTCACATAAGTAATTCTTGGAAGTAAATTGTTTGCCTTTGAAGGTACAAGCTAACAGGTAAAGAAATATTCCTTACAAAATCTGGGGGTGATATTCACACAATAACGAGCTTTCCACGACATTATAAAGAGTCAGGATGAAGCCCACAGTGTATTCAATGGGAATTTTGATTAACAATGCCGGTACTGAAAATTTAAGAGAAGATTTGATATTTTTAAGTCATGGTTATTGACTTAAATCAATCAGAAGCGCAGAACTGGAGAGCATCTCTTTTCACTGGAGACTTTCATGTGTAGACTTGAAAGGTAAGTTTAGTCTAATCTACTTTGCTTTGTTTATTAACTGTTCTTTGCTTTCTGAAAAGTATTCTAACGTTAGCCAAAAGTCCTGGACTTTTTTTCATTTTTCTGAAGGGAAGTGGCTAGACATTTAGGAAGTAAAATTATCATTTGTGAAGAGCAGGATTAAGATCATTTGGCTATTTTCTACCTTCCAGTTTTAAATCTGAACCTCCAACAGGAGAAGCAGTATTAAAATTTCATGCAACTACAGTTTAAGCCAAGCAGTTGTACAGCTGCACTAGTGTACAGATCACACAACAACATGTACTTTGTCAAAAGCCCTATGGGAGAGACTCATTCCATCCGCAGTGCAAAACAAATCTCATAGGATCACAGTGAAATATTGCAGTTTTGTAATGGTTAATCATCAGAGATAGGTGTTATATAGTATAGCCAAGAAAGCCAAAATTAACCTTCAGTAAATACATTGTAAATATAACAAACTGATTCTCCCTCTATTTATACCAGTTTTAAATGAGTATGACTGATGACTTTGGTGCAATTAATCCAAATTTAATGTGATGAAGGCTTCCTGTCTCTGCCATCCCTCTTAATGTAGCTCCACAGCATGAAAGTAGGGAGGGCCGGTGACCGCTCTTGGTTCAGAAGCATGTTCTGGATTTGTTCAAGCGTGCCCCGTGGCCCCCGCCTCATTCCCACCAGCATTCCCATCAGATTATGCAGAAAGGACTAGCTGGGCCTTGCAGGGTGGGATAGTTTCATATTTTGGCTTACCTGCCTTCATGCCAAAATCCAAAATGCTGTTGCAGCCTCTGCTGTCTGAACTCCGGAAGCAAGCAGAAAAGACTGGGCCACACTCGTAAGTGTAAATGTGGATGTCACAGGGTATCTGAATAATTCCATTGTGTCATCAACTTTGAAATGTGTTTACCAATACTGCACCTTGAGCTTTTCTTAAATGCTCTTATCAGCATACGTACAACAAGCATGACAAATCAATCTCAACACCAAAACTCATCCTCCCTGGAGGAAGGTAGAAGTTAAAATAAGCTACTCTGTCTTTAGCCACCATATCCCATTGAGGAAACTATTCCAAGGTAGCCAAGGTAATTTTGTTTAAACCTTTATAAAGCATGTCTCTTCAGATGCTTCATTTTTACTGTTTCTTTGAATGACTTACTGATAGGTTCCACTGATTCATCCTAGCAACCTTGTGGAAATAAGATCTCGCTAGCTGCTTTTTCCTTGCAATTTAAGTTTCACAAGTTAATTCAGTGTATTAGTTTCTGTTGCCAGACAATCCAATCTTAATTTTAGTGTGACAATTAGAAGTTTATTATAATTTTAAATTGGGCAGAGGTTGTTAGAATCTGTAATTTTCCCTGGACTTCGGTATTTGCAGCAACCACTTAATGAATTGTATAAACAGCTAATGACTGACATTTGTTCTCCATCATTCCCTTAAAAATGTTTCTTTAATTGTCAGATTCATTGAGAAGCTGCAGAAAAATAGACCAAATTTTTTATATTTATGACAATCTAAAGGCAAAGCAAAGGTAAATCTGTTCAGATAAATTTAGAGTGTCACTGAATTATTATCCCTAATTTAAGAGATTTCATTCAGATCTTGGAAATAAAATGTGTAAGAGAAGGTCAGCTGTGGTATCACTAGGGAGAAACAATCTCAATGAGGTCAGATTCAACAGGAAGTACCTGATGGGCTGTGTGAATTGAGCCCATTATATTGAGGTTTTTATGAAAGAGTGAGGCCAGGTCAAAAGAGTGGAAGAAGGAAATCAGTGGTATCAGAAGCCAGGAAGGAAGCAGGGGAGGATACAGAGGCAGCAGGAAGAGGTTCTTAATTCTCTAGCTGTAAGCAGTGTCGATAGATAGGGGTAGGCAGAGATAAAGAGCTAAAGATGGAGAGGTCTTGGACACTGAGTATATTGGAAGGAAAGAGACTTTGAAAAGTTGACTCCAGAAGTGAGAAACTTAATAAGAAAGTTTGCAAACGATGAAAAAATGTAGTCCAGTTGACTGGAGCCAGAAGCAAAGATGAGATACGAATTTGTCATCCTGTCAAAAGCACAATACTGCAGCTGCTGCTGACAGCAAAATCTAAGGTCCTCCACCTTCAGGGACAAAACTAGAAGAACTGTCAAGAGCCATTTTGGCTGCTGGAGAGAAGATTATATGCCATCGTCCATCCAACTGTCATACAACACATGGCTACAGAAAATAAATCTATTTAGAAATTGGGGATAAACTCCATAGGGGAAGAGGCAATTAATGTACTGTATGCCTAACTGGCCATAAAATTATACATGATAGATAACAAGGATAGTGTCAATCACAGCAGGACAATAGATCAAACCGGTCATGGACAACTAGGCGTACTGCTTGGAGTATGCATGTGTGTGCACCTGTGGATGAGGGACACAGAGACATGCCTATCTAGGCTTTGCATACCTAACAGTGCTGTAAAACATGCACTGTAAATAAAGGAAGCCATAGTTAATACATTTTGGGTTCAAGAAGGTGAAACAAGAGGGCACCAATTACTATCTGACAAGTAGTGAGTCGATATTGTTCTATTTTGTTGCTTGCCAGCCTGCCTGAATAAAAGCAACAATTCAGCTAGCAGGAGAGGCAGATTAAGGGAGGGCAGCGAATGTTCCACATCTCACTCAGTGCGTTTACTGTCTTGCAAAATACAGGTAACCAGCCTTTATTTAGGCAAGAACAATGAGATCTTTCCAAAAAGAGATGAACCAAAAGAGGGGAGTCGGACCTGACTGCAGTTACAGTTGGCAACATGTCATTTGCTATGTCAAGGCTGTTATAGACATGTCTGGCTCATACCCATTGCATGCCGTCCATGCAGATTTTAAAGGCAAGTGGAGCAGTGTTTGCGCTTCTGTAAGAGTAACATAGAAGTAGGTAACTGATTAGGAGAGTTACCAAGCAACATATTTGCTGAATGCTATTAACCTATTCCAAATAATGCCTCTATGGCAAAAGAAATGTATAAACATAAACCCTTCTGGTGCACAGGAGTGGTGATTTTTTTACTGATGTATTTTCTCTTTCTCTTTCCTCACAAGCAGAAGCTTTCTTGCTTCTGTGCCCACAGATCATGGCACACATTGGGGTCTTCTCGCATGTTTCAGTCCTCCCGTAGCTCTCATGGGCTTATCTCCCACCATCTGTTTCAGGGGTTCTCTACAAACCCCCTTCACTCCTACTAACCTGCCAGGAGATCTGTTGGATTCCTTTCTGTCGCAAGCCACAAGTTTTCCATAGTTCCCATTTCTTTATCCATAAGTGTTAAGGGTACTGGCTGAATTTCCAAGCCCTCCTTGCCCCGTGGCCACCCATCTACTCTTCCTTCCACCATGCTTATTTCCTCTTTTCCTCCAGGAAGTGTCACTTAGGGTGCTAATATTTCATCTCTGTTCATGAAACCTTAAGTCAGCAAACACGCTGTTCCTTAAGGCGGGGGAGTAAGAACTGCTGATAATTACTGGCAGCAAGTGTAGGCACTCATTCACCAGCCCAGGGGAATTCATCTGTTCCTGACTGTAGCTGACAGAAGCTTAAAGACCCTTCCACAGGGTCTGTATCTACCGTTTGAAGAACTTTCCATAGAAAATTAAAAGTACGATGAAAAGTAGGAAATTGAACCAGAGCTCCTGTTTTATTGTATCTTTCTTAGCCATCCAGTGTTGACTCCTAGCCACCCTTTCATCTAGTCTCATTTCTTTAAGAAATAAGGATAGCCATCACATTAAAACTTAAACACCAATGAAAGCTACAGATTTTATAAGCTGGAAATGAAGCCAGGTAAGCTTAGATTTTCACTTTTCCTCCTGCTAAGAAGAGATTAGCTTCAAGCTCTCTTGACTGTGGACCTTACCCGGTAATAATCTCTACATTATTATTATTTCATCTTCAAGACATATTAAAATGTATACATTATCTGATATTTTAAATTATTTGTTGATTTATAATGTAATGGTGATTTGTAAAGAGTAAACACATCTCCCAGCACAACATTTTAATGAGAGTCTGATAATTGGAAAGATGAACCCAGTCTTGCTCTGAGATCTTCAACAGTTAAGCAGTGTGTATTACTTTATGTCACTGGTCAGCCACATAGGCAGCCTATAATAATGAAAAGAAATATTGTCCTTTGAGAAATTAATAAGTAACCAAGATCTGTAAGTATGCTTCATTTTCCTAGAATTAAGAATCTCACTTAGGATTGGGATGATCAGCTCAGTCTTTTATGCAAATCTGATTAAATGGATAGTGGGAAGTTGTTGGTAATTTTGTTTTCATTGAAAAAATGAGCAACTCGTGCTCCGTTGCTTGCTTTATAACGCTCCATAGACTCCCCATCACTACTACTAATCTATGTATATCTTGTACATATACTTCTACAACATTATCTTTTCATATTTTCCTTTCTAAAATTTTGTTGCTATGGAAATCTTCCTCATAGTGTCTGTAGCCATGACTCAAAAGTGCCGAAAGCCTTTGAACATACAGCACTCATGTGTCTTCAGGACAATTCAGAAAAATGCTAAAGAAACGCGAGTGAAAATTGAATTTATAAAGAAATCTACTCTGCTCTTCCATATCTGACAAAGGTAACTCATTTCAATTTTTGCATTTTTATCTCAGTAAAAAATAAACAAATACTATTTATATAATCTCTCTTGTTAAAGCTTCCCAAGAAGCTTCACAAATGAAACAAGATTTTCAAAGATTACTTGTCAAGCACTGGAGCACAGCTGCCTCTGGAACGGAACTGACAACCACTCTGACATCAGCTTGTTACTATTTGTCTTCTCAGGAGATGAAAAATAAAATTTCAAACGTCAGCATCCAATTAGTGTTGCTGCATCTGGGTAAGGCTTGAAGACAAACACCCTGGATGTCCTGCAAGGGGCTGTGGGACTTTTGAAGGGCACAATAGATGTGCAGAGAGCTTCATCTCATTGGAAAAGCAGCGCCTTCTTCCATTTCCACCATACTATCCTGACACAACAGGATGCTTAACAGTCCTGATTCTGTCCAGGTGAGATGCACAAAGGAGAACAGCAGAGTTTTATCCCTCAAATTATTATCGTTTCAGAATTAAAAATAAAAAAAAATGAAGAGAGATTTCTGATAGATCTTGGAAGTGGTTAAGGAAAAAATCAACAAAAATAGTCAAGAAACTCTACTTCAAATAAAATAGAATATTTTCCCTCTAGAGCTCAATCCTCAGTTCATCAATTACCACTATAAAGAGTTTTTCCAAAAGTATTTCTCTTGCTTATTATATCATTTTCCTCTCCTGTCCTCCTGCAGTCACAGCTTCTCTTTACAGACTGCCTTTAAATATAGAAATATTATAGGTGTAAGTGTCTTGAAGATCAGATTACTTAAGCACTCTACCAAGCCATTACTTTAGTCTCCATTCTATCGCTTTCTTCTGCTTTTCATCTGCTCTTTGCCTTCTTCAGATAGAACACCTGACACATCAGTTAGTTGAAACAAAAATGAAAAAAACAAAAAAACCCTATATCCTGCCTAAAAATATTTTCATATGAAAATGCCAGGAAAAGTGCTTCAGAAATGTTCCAGTGACTTAAATGTGGCCTAACAAATGCCACAAATTTCAATTCATCTCAAGGAAGTCTTTCTGTACTGTGAGCCATTTGTGTTTATGAGTGCCAAGTTTTACTAGTTTGAACCCTTTATCTGCGCCACCTTTTGGATCTCTCCACTTGAGCCATAAATATAGATATTTTAGTCATAGAAAAATGGGAAAAATTCTGATAATGTGAACAAATAAGGCACCAATGAGGCAAACACTAGCTGAGGATCCAGCCCATAACTTTTCCTAAATTAAGTATTGTAAGGGTAAGATAAGGGGACCGCCTAGACTTCTGGCAGGGACACATTCACAAACGCAAGGCCCACTAGGATCTATACTGAGCATTTTTTACCTCTGCGTCTGAGCGGGGGTTCCCCAGCGATTTCCCAATAATGGAGCGGGAGAGTCCCTGGCACCACTGAGCTTCAGTGCATGGTGAGCCGGGGGTGCACTAAACGAGGTTTTTATGGATGGTACACATGTGCAGCAACCATACTGAGCTCATCGCTACTTCCAATTCAAAGCCCAGGTGTAGCACGGCACAGGCACGGGCTCAGCCGCATGACTATGGGTCAACATGCCCTGTTCATGCTCCTTTTCCCACGGAACAGTCTGGTTAGCTTCCATCACCTGTCTCCTCGACTTTATTCCACATTTTCCCATATAAGTATCATACTATTTCTTTAATGTTAAGAGGACAGAATAGTTCAGTGTAAATGAAAGGAACAGTGTTTTGTATCTATTATACTCATTTTATTAACCTCTTGATCATTCTGATCTAACCTATAGATAATTCAACTCTGATTGCCAAACTGAGCAGCATGTACGGAGATACATTACAGAGCAAGGTAGTTAATATGCCTTTCTATGAATTTTATCACGACCGTATTTGGAATATAGCATTCCATTCTGGGTATCCTTGGAGTTCTCTGAGGGCCAGAAATGAGATATTGAGGGCAATAGGAAAAATTTGTCTTATATCAGGAAAATAGACTAATTTATGCACATTTTGAACTATCTTTTATCCAATGTTATTTCTCTTTCCAGTATTCCGGGAGAGAGAAGGTGTAATTATCAGGGTGGATAAATGGGTCTCGGCTACAAACCGAGTTTCCTTGTAATATGTTAAAAAATGAGGTAGCAACCAGCAGTGAATATGAAACTTTCCTAATTTATTAGAAAGCCTGTATTCTGGCTATTTAATATACAGTATTGACATGTGAAATAACTTTCCTGCTAATGAAAGCAAGTTTTCTTACCTCTGTTCATTTCATTCGTTTCATGAACGATGAGCATTACCAGCCTTTATGGAAGGATGGTCATTACTGCCATATATCTGAGCATGAAAGACTATGAAGTTTCATTGATCTTAAGAAGAATGTTTCAAGGAAATAGAATTGAATTCTCTTGCCCCTGGTAAGGCCTTGTCCTGGTCTTCTGAAGTGAATGGAAGTTTTGCTGAAACCTGAATGGGAGCAGGATCTATCCTTTAGACAACATTGGCAAATTCAATCTAGGTTAGAACATACTAGAGTTTATTATTGCAGAGTACAGACATTTTCTTTTTTATGAACCAACATCATTCTCTTTCATAGAATTTCTTTGCAAGTAGAACATTCAATTTAACTTTTCAATCCATGAGCAACTAAGTACCGTACTGCCAATTCTCAACGGGATATTTCAGAATCAGTGATTGACTACATAGCTATAATTTTAAAAAGATTAATTCACTGGTGACCTAAATACCTACACAGTGGCAAATTGAAAAATGTTCCTAGGCAACAAGAACCTATTGACACAATGAAAATTCCTCCTTCAAAAATTGTTATCTGAAACAAAGCAGCAAAGAATGGATATCAGATTCAAATGACGAGAAAACAAAGATGAGCAAGAAACACCCTTAACTTTTCAAAAATCATTATGTATGTTTATACAATTCTATTTCTTTCAAAGATGGGAGACCTCCAGAAAAAAAGAAAAGAGAAGTGCTGCCACATGTTATGGGGGGAAAAAATATCATCAGAGGAGCTTAATTGCTTCAAAGAGGACAGGTGCTACCAGATCTCATCAGAAATGTGATCCTTCTCACAGAAAGATCCTGATACCCTGGAGTTATTTAACATCACACAGCAGTTTCTCAAGGCTAAAAATATACAATTTTCACAGTCATTGTAGAAGTACAGCTCTGGATTATTACATTAGTGTTGCACTGGGTGGTCCCTAACATACACATTTCAGTAACAGACTGAACATTTACTGTACGATGTCATGGAAGTGTCTCTTGAGGACAAAAGCAGGCTGTTAACAATAGGAAAACATTTTTCCTTCTGTAATGACCCAGTGCTAAGCCCTGGTGGCAACCTACAAAATACCTCCCCCATTTCCTCCAAAAAACTTTTGGAACAAAAATAAATAATTTGACTGTCTGCTAAAAATTGTGAATGTATAGGTATGGGTTTTCTGGTAATTATAAAATAAGAAAAAAGCCTGCACGTTCTAACCCCTCTCTGCATCCTATAGGAAGCGACAACATCATCACATCACCATCTGCTGACATCATGTTCTGCTCCATTTGTATCAGACAACTGTTTCTTTCTAATTGTCTCATTGATTGTCATAACAAAGTTAAGTTCAAAGCTATTGTTCTCAGCCTGTGCTTGGCCTGAAATGTGCTGCTTCTTGTTCAGATCAGAAGAAGAGCTTGCGTCCTTAAAGCCTGTCTGTTTTTCTTCCAATTCTATTAGTCTAAT